TCGACAAGCGGCCTTCCAGCCCTAGGCGTCAAGTTGTTGGTTTCATCTTGAAGGCCGGCTTCGTTGTCGATAAGTAAAGCCATTAATCGGGGGATTGCTAATCTGAAGTCAAAAATACTCTCAAAAGACAAGCGTAAAACGGTGTGTGTTGCAGGTTTGTATCAAACAACTACTGTTATCCTCAGCCCAACGGTAGTCGTCAAACTGTTTACCCGAAAAATCGGATATAGTTGAATTTATACGTAGTTCTAAGGGTATGTGGTATAACTTGATACAAATCGCAAAGAGAAATAGAAATATCCAATCTTGACTATAAGAACGAAAGATAAAAACGGCTGAAAAGAGAAAATAAATGGACCAGATAAGATGAAGTAAGAGAGCTCAAAGGATTGATCTTTCAATATAAGGAATAGTCTTTTTTTACAATGTGTAAATGTCCTCTTTACAGAAACAACAATCATCTCTTTATAGTGGAGGGATCCTACTTTAGATATAATAAAAAATACATAGTGGGGAACCCATGAGGAATTAGCTTTTCCCTAATTCCTGCCAGGATTCTCTCCCCTAGTGCGGTTGCAACGGCTCTTGTCTCTGAACTCGATATTGACTCGAGCCCTCGATCTTGAATCGAGCTCGATTCTGACTCGGAGTCTGGTATTGATTCGGGGTCGGTGTCGTTCGGTTTAGATACGAGCTCGATAATGATACCGAGCTTGTCATTGATCGGTCCTAGAACTCGAAGTTTGATGACATGACTTCGGACCTCGACCTGGTATTACGAAGCCCACCTTCGATGAAAGTATTATCATACCGACCAGTCCGTACGACGGACTAATCGATTTTGACCGTATACAATGATATGATTGGAGATGAGTTCGCTCAAAGTAAGATTTGCTCCAGGCAGCCGATTTTACATGTGTTATTTAAGTTATTTCAAAATATTTAGCTTGTAACCAGTGTTGGAAATTCTGACAAGCGCTGCCTCGTCCTCCACTACTACTACTACTTCTTCTTCTTCTCCTTCTCCTTCACAAAGAATGTATAAAAAGGGAATCTGCTATCTTTTGATCTTATAGAATGGTTCTTTAGAAAGTATGAATTGCAAAGAGTGAAATTTATTGAAGAAGTTGAGAAACTCAAAAGGAAATATTGAAAGAAAAGATATGCAAAAGACTTATTTTTTCTAGAAGAAAATAGGGGAAGTGGATGGATGGGGTAGTAATGCCAAAAACTAGAGTGAAATTTATTGAAGAAGTTGAGAAACTCAAAAGGAAATATCGAAAGAAAAGATATGCAAAAGACTTATATTTTCTAGAAGAAAATAGGGGAAGTGGATGGATGGGGTAGTAATGCCAAAAACTAGAGTGAAATTTATTGAAGAAGTTGAGAAACTCAAAAGGAAATATCGAAAGAAAAGATATGCAAAAGACTTATATTTTCTAGAAGAAAATATGGCAAGAGGATGGATGAGGTAGTAATGCCAAGTTGTAGTGGTCATGCCAATTTCAGACATTAAGGGCTGTCAACTTCAAGTCTAAAGTTATCTAACTTCAGACCTGAATGTCTGAAACCGGGCTTCATTCAAATTGACGCTGAATCAAACATATGAGTCTGAAATTAGGCTTGCGTACATCTTAAGTTTTTCAAATTTCATCTTGTAGGTTTGAAATTGATTCTTAAACAGTTTAAATACTTCCTAATTGTTGGCTATATCTTAAATTATGAATCTTCAAGTGGTCATCTGTGCACTTGCCCCAGGTTCGAGATGATGTTCGCTAGACTTTATTTCCAATCGAACTGTGAAATGTGGCTTTTTTCTTCGTTAGGACTAGTATTCGCAGAACCTTTACATTTATATAAAGTCAAGATCTCGTAACAAAATCAATGATGGTTGGTTATAACCTTTACATATTTTTACCACACGACATATATGTATTACGATACTAATTGAAAATTTTAATAAAATTGACACAGTTCAATTTTCAAATTTTAGAAAAAAAAAGTTGTACACACCAATTCCAACATTTTGCTTGTTCTTTATGTGCTTAAGTTCGGTTTAATTTTTTTTTAACATGTTCCTACCAGAAAAAAGATCTAGTAGAATTTTATTTTCAGTACATTTTGAGAAGACTAAAATGAACGGCTTTAGTGTGTTTAATTTAACCCATTAATGTGTATAAACCATAAGTCAGACAAATAGACAAAAGAAGACTAAGAAGTCAAACAAAATTGTAAAGAAAAGAACCATCCACCTTTTATAAGTTCCGCACTTGGCATAAGAGAAATAAAATCGACTTATGGACTCGAAATAGTTTCATTTTATGTTTTTTATTTTTAAAGTGCTACTATTAGAGTTCCTTGAGCACGTTACATGCGGCATAGCACCAGAAGGATTTTTCTCTCAGCTTCACGTTGAGCATTTGTTGTGGCTAGAACTAGACTGAGTTAAGCCCAACAAAAATTCAATATCAATCAAGTTGTGGCTTAGTAAGAAATGCACATGACATGCTTTCATTAGTGTGATAAAAATATTGATATGGGTATGTTTTTTCGGCGTAACAATTGACCCAACACATCTGAAAACTAGAGTGAATACTTGCCGATGTTGTAGTTCACGCAACTTGGCGGTGCCGTGCTCTTCAACTTGATTCAACCTCAGGTCTGCGAATAACAAGCATCAACAATCCGTTACCATCTCAACCAGTTAAAATACATGGGCACTTATCCGTCTTTTCCTCTCTGCTAGTCACCCCTCCCTTTCCCTTGATTAGTCAACCTCTCTTCTTCTTCTTCACTTTGCAAGTTATCTTAGTTCCAACTTACCTCATCTTTTAAAATCATTTTCAAGTCATTGTATCTCTACGTAAGTTAAAAATCAATGAACTACTCACTTCTTTCCAAATGTAAGAGAATCGCATACTGTTGCAGCTTAAGTGATGAGGTCACTTAATTCTGGTTAAAATTAGACCACATTAACTTGTAATTTAAGTAGTGGCGTAGCTAGCAAAGTACAGCTAACGAGTTACTTCATAATTTCTGTAAGTCTTTCAAACTTCCACAGCTAGTCGTTAAAAAGTAGTTAGCAATTTTTTCCACATATCACATGTGCCCAGTTCTTGTATCATTTTTTCACATAATGAACTAAGGAATTCTCATTTTTCACAAAATGAACGAGGATTCTCCTCTTCAACTTTCGATGTTCACATCCACAACTAGGGTGTACGAACCTAGTTGCCAATGAGACAGTCAACACAAGTGGAAGCATTTCATTCTTGTAGGAGGCGTTTAATTCTGGTTACCAAATCAGTTGGCAGTTCGAGAAAAGGAGAATAACTTAACTTCGGTTGAGACGTCCAGAGTGGACATGATAAATATACCGTTCAAACATATGGCGCCCAATGCCCACAATGCCAAGCGCACAAGACTAGCATAAACATATACCATCAGTCCCACGGTTCTTTTAAGCAGTACCCAACAACACGTGTTGCACATCTTACACTTCTACTTATCCCTAAATTTCATTGCATCTAATTTTTTTCATTTAGATGTGTGATGGAACTACCTTGCACCCTATCAATAAAACATGCCTAATGGCACAAGATACCAATCTTTAACATGTCTTGAGAGGAACTTCAAATACTTGGCCAGCATCCAACAATTTCAAGTCGTGAAAACGCAAGTACCACTTATCAGCACCAACAACTCTAAGAAGCAACGCAACAAGCTTCCCTAGCTCAAGGCACAAACAGATCTGCATTGCTTATCCTCCAGTGGTGTTCACTCCTCCCTTATAAATCCTCAAAATAAACAATACAAAAGTAGAAATGTAGATGTACAAGCTAATAGAATACCATTTTTGCTTCCAGACTTCCATTATACTTACTGATAGAATCAGATAAAAGAGCCAAAATAACACACAACAGCGTTACCAACTCTCTCCCACTACTGACATAGCACTTGCCAAACAATGCACAAACAACGAAGCAGAAAATGATACTGTCACAAAACAATAATATCTTTTAAACTTAATTACGAAATAATTCCTTTTCGTCTAATGTTTGGTTTACCTCTAGAAAAAGGAAAACTTAAGTGAATATCTGAACACTAATAAACTTTGGACCGACGGTATGACTGCCAAAACAAAATAAGGACAAACATATAAACCAATATTGAGTAGATTCCAAGCCATTAAAAGAAGAATGAAGGCAATAAATGTTTTTGATAGTTATGCAAAAAACAAATAATATGACAAAAAATCAAGTTCAAATTCCAACATAAAATAGCAAATGATTCTTTAGAACTAAGTGCTGCTCTAAATGATCTATGTACGCTTAATATAACTCGTACACCAGTGACAGCATGATATTGAGTCAAACTACCTTCTGGAGATAGGGAGCTATCNAGCTCCTCATGGTTGGAACAACATTGGAATAGTAATTCCCTTCTCCCCCCTAGAAAGGTTCAAGCATTACGTTAACTACTGTTAGAAAGAAAAATTTCCAAAGCCAAGGAGGTTCCTAGGTTTCTACTGCCCATCACACTTCAAAGCTACCTAATCCTCACTTCTCTCTAATGGGCTTCAGCTAATCCTCCATGGCACAAAACTTTGTTAAAAGACATCCTAGAAATCTAACTATTAAGTTTAAATTAAACTTATCTATGAGGATAAGCAATTTAATGACAGAAATCAGTCCAGTGCAGGATACCAACTTCCAGTACAAGCATCTTTTCCTGTCACAAGACATCTGGAAAATGTATCAGAATTAATAATAAAAGTTAATTCCGAGACATGTGAATATAGGCGTCAAACTAACCAATTCACATACCCTGGGGACCTTCACATTTTCAAGATGCATCACCTTCGGGAGAGGAATAGCAGAAGCAAGTAGTAGGCTGCTTTCTGAGTTCTCAATATTTAAACGACCACAGAAAGGTAAAAGACATAACCAAGTTAGAAGAGAAAAGCAAAGGAGATTAGCGGTGATACGTCAAAGAGGAGAGAAACACACAAAACAGACAAACTGTCAGTGATTAGTAAACAAGAGATTCAAACAAATCATTAAAACAAAATTTGAGAAACATATGCTGGAGCAACCCCCAAAACGAGTCCTACAAAAAGCATAATTAATATTCCATAATCCACTGATTAAATGCTCCAACACAAGCTGAATGAACTGAAGGTCTCATCTCTCTGCATAACAGTACAACAAGGTTAAAGATGTGAGTCTGAAACTTCCAACAAATAAGTCACGGCAAGAGGAAAGAAATCAGGTGAAGTGCTCCAACACATCAGCCTGCCAAAATATCACAACATTAACAAAGGAGAACTGTTAAGAATGAAGATAACCAAGCAACAAATAAATTATTAAATGCTCACTGCTTCCAGAAAAAAAAAACAGTAACATTTCCTTTAGCAAAAAACAAACAGAAAGGGGAATGAAAATAGATGAACTAAAAAGCAACCAAGATCTAATTGTGGGACGGGGCGACGGGCGCAAGCTTTGAATATAGATACTTGTAATCTAGAAGAATCTGCATAGCTTTCTAGAGTTCATTAACAAACAGCCAAATTATATACAGTATACAGTTAAATTGCTGGACAATTAGCTCTCTGCTGGGTTTCTCTTTCTCTACAACTTAGAAAAATTGGGAAGAGAGACAACTTGAAAAGATTTTTTTGTTCCCAAAGCAAAGATTTGAGTACCCTTCACATTAAACACACTCATCACCATTTTCTTGTAAATAAAAAGATGGAAAACTCATCATTTATGAAATTTTGAAAGGAAAAAAACCCCTTAAAACCCCAGTAAAATTGGTTGATAAGAAACTTGGCTGTCCCATTGCAGAGCATAAACGTGAGGATGAGGATGTACACATAATACATGTGTATGCCCCTGAAAGGTGAACACCAAACAGCATAGAGAAGACCAAAATGACAAATTTGGAAACAGAAGAAACAACATAACTTCCATACCTAATATTGCAGGGCGATACAGCAATCCTGTCATCACTTCATCTCTGACATGAACTTCTCATATTCTGCATCCGCACCATAGGCAGGCTTCTCTGAAGATGATGGAGGTGAGGGTGCTGGTGGATTTGGAGCCCAAGGAACATTGCCCATACCCTGTGAATGGTCCCCATTGGAATGGGATGCAGATGGAGGAGGAGCTGGTGGTGCGACACCATAATAAGATGGATAGCTGTATGAAGATGTTGGATATGCAGGTTGAGCATTAGGTGGCATTGAAGTGGCAGAATTGCCGTACACATAAGTTGGAACTGATTGAAGGGGTGCACTACTCTGAGATTGCACTCCAGGAGGATAACTTTGCTGTGTCTCACCAGATGATGTGTAGGTTTGTTGGTTTTCACCTGAAGAAACAGTCTGAGCAGGAGGACCAGCACCAGAAGATGCTGGTGGAATTGGAGGAGGATACTGCATTCCATATGGAGGGATGGGTTGACCTGGGACAGGAGGATACATGGCTGAGCCAGGAGGGGGAGGTGGGTACTGGGCATATGGTGGAGGCATAGGTGGTCCCCATGGAACTGGAGCCCCAAGTGGAGGATAGCCACCAGCGGGGGTATTGCCAATGGGACCACCCGCTGCATACTGCTGGGATGGGTATGCACCCATGCCCTGATTAGGAGCCGGATATAAAGGCATTGCCGGAGCAGGAGGGCCCGGAGGCACGGTAGGCTGAGGCGGTTTACCTGCAACTCTCACAGCAATGGTTCTCCCATCAAGACGATGGCCATTCATGCTAGCTATAGCACTATTAGCTTGTTGAACATCTGCATACTTAACAAATCCATAACCTTTACTCAGACCACTTAGGCGATCCTTTATAACTTTAGCCATAACAATGGTACCAAAGGGAGAGAACAAATTGATCAAACCATCATCATCAAGAGTAGGTGGCAAGTAACCGATGTACAAGTTTGTCTCGTCAAACTCCTTTGGCTTGATCACACTTGACCCTAAGCCAGGATGTGAAGAGGCACCAACACCACCAGCATTATTATTGCTAGCCCAAGGAGGATTGCCTGCTGAGTTTCCCGGTCCAAGAGCTAGCGTGGCTGAGCTTTGCTTCGTAGATGATTCGGGAACTGTACCTCCCAACTCTGCCAGAAAATTCTGATATTCATCATCCATTTTCTTGCCAGTAGTATTTTTTACTGGACAATCGATAGTGGGATGCCCCCCGTCACCACAAATTTTACACAGAACATCACTCTTAAAGGTTGTGGTGCGAGAAGGACATGCATACTGCCTATGCCCTGGTTCGCCACATAGTCTACAAAACTCCTCATCTCTAATTGTTCCATTCAAAGCAGCAAGTTCTCTAAGCTGCTGCCTCTTATGTTCATTAAGCACTTCATCAACAGGCTGCAAGAGCTTCTCCACCATAGCAGCAGCAGCCTCAAGTGAGTCCTGGTTCTCAGCTTCCACTAACACATGTAAGTCCTCGTTCTCAGAAGGGTCAGGCTTTAAATTTCCCTTTTGCTGCAACCTACCCTCCTTGATAGACCCTTTGCCTCGAATTACAATCTTAGCTCCTGTCTCCTTTTCCATCCTCTTCTGAGTATTCCCTCTTGGACCAATAATCAGCCCAATAAAATTATAACCAGGGTACTCCTTCATGGGAATGTAGAGCTTTTTCTGAAGCTTCGGAGGCCTATAATCAGCTGGTGGCTTAAAAGCCGGGTTCTTTTTTAAGATTTGCGATATAATCTCTTGTCTCTCCCTATTCAATTTTTCTCGGGCACGGTACTCCCTAGTGTTTATACGAATTCCCATGTTATCATATATAGGTTCAGGGGAAGGCGACCGAGCACCTTCAGGCCTATCATCTAAGGGCAAACCAGATTGCAATTTCCTACTAATTTCAAGTAACCTACTGTTAAGAGCTTGGATTTCAGGATCAAACTCAATACCTCCAGTGAAATCTTTCATGAAATCGGGCAATTGAATCACAGGCTTGGGCTCATCGTCTGCCCACCTCGACTTCCTCTTCCTTCCACCAGTCCCACTTCCTCCATCACCACCGCTGGTCCCATCTTCAGTCGGAGGTGGGTCCCAGCGGCTCCTACGTCTCCTTCTGCTGCTGGTTTCTTCCTCACCGCCTGATTGGTCCCTGTCGGTGCCGCTGTGAGTGTTCGTCAATCCATTTTCCGACAGCAACGGCCTCTGCAGCTCGCGCTTCTGAATCGAATCGCGGAGTTTTTGCTCCTCTGATGCTTGATTTGAACCGGAATTGTCAGGCGTCTGAACCTGAGTCTCGTGATTAGGGTTTTCCTGAGAGTTTTGATTGCTCGAATCCTGCGGATAGGAAGAAGCTAGGGTTTCTGAAGGGTTTTGAGAATATGGATCGGAGTAATTGTTGTTGTGATTTTGCGGAGGATATTGATCGTAGGAAGCTAAGTTTTGTGATGAGTTCTGAGCTAAGCTTTCAACTGAAGGAGATTGAGAATCCATGAAAGGAGGGAGAGAGTGCGTGAGAAATTGAGATATGGAGTAGTACAAATTTTGGAGATAACACGAACAGGGCGTGAATTTATAGACAGTGATATTCTGGTCGGATCAAGCAGATCCAAGTATAGTAGGTTTAGATTTAGGCCTCATTTTTTTTTTTTAAGATTAAACGTGTGAATATGTGTATTAAGATTAAGACATTCCAATTTGAATACATAACCGAATATTAAGATGTGTATTAAAATCTGAATACTAAATGATTAAGATTGTTTGATTTTTAACATTTGAATGTCTGAGATTTATCTTTATTTGAAAATTAATAAACATAAAATTCAAATAAAATACTAATTAATCTAATATTCTATCATTAAAATATATAATTTTTTAAAATATGATAGTTGTTGGTGGTGATGGCTAACAAGTGAATGCCGATTAGAGGCGGTGATTGGTGGTAGTTTTGATTGATGGTGATGGTTCAGGGTAGTAGCTAGTGGTGATTGGTAATGGTGGCGATTATGATTGAGGATGGTGGTGGTGAGTGGTGATAGTTAATAATGGCGGGTGGTGGTGATAGTTGTGATTGAGGAAGGTGGTGGTGGGTGTTGGTAGGTTATAATGATAGGCAGTGCCGGTTGTGGTTGTTGATGTTGATGGGGTAGTTAGTTGTGGTAGTTGAAGTGAATGAGTGTTGATTGTGGTTGAGAATGATGGTGGCGACAGTGGTGGAGATAGTGGGTGGTGATAGTCGATAATGGTGGCGGCTATGATTAATGATGATAATGGTGTGGTGGTGGCGGTGGCGGCATAGTGGTAGTTGATAATGATAGGCGGTGGCGGCAGTTAATAATGAATATGGATGATAGCATCTTAATGAAATTAAGTCTCTGTTATAGATCTTAATCATACATACCTATTCAGACTCATTAAGTGGTTGTGAAGTAAAAAAAAAAATACTTAATGATTAAGATCTGAATAATTAAGATTTAGACTTTAAAAACAAACGCACTTAACGTCTGAGATCTGAATGATTAAGATTCAGACCTCCATTAAGTGCAAACAAATGAGGCATTGACTTGGAAGCTGCTGGGTGGGGGTGTGGGGGAAGTGCAACGATAGCCATTTTTAAGCTCGCTATTTAAAATATATTCACAATTTATAATGTATTTAAAGATTAGCCAATTCATCTAAACTTAAGGACTAAGTATCCTAAATTTAAAAATTAAGTACTTAGTGTCCTGAATTTTTGAGTTGTTATTTTGAAATTCAGAACTAATTTTCCTGAATTTCTGAAGTACTAATTTAAAATTCGAACTTCTGGACACATTTTTTGAACTTTAGGACACGATGTCCTGAAGTTTGAACTCTGAGGTTTAAACTCTAGGACGTCGTGTCCTGAAATTTAAGTGAAATTGGCTAATCTTTAAATACATTGTAAACTGTGGATCTATTTTAAACAACATGCTTAAAAATGATTATCTAGTATCATTTCCACCCATTTTTTGAGTCCGAGACAAGTTGGGTAGCCCAGATTTGAATTGGGCTACATAGTTTTGAATTGAGAAATTGACACTAGGTAACAACATACAAGAGGAATTGGCAAATTATTGGCCATAAATTATTTTGGCAAAGGCAGTGATGGTAGGCTACAAATTCATGTTTTAGTCGCTTGTTGCACTCTAATTTACTGCACTTTATTCGTTTTGAACTTTAATTGATAGTGTTTTGTACTTATTGTGTGTTTTATACATTGTATGAGTGATTTCGAGCTATGTAGATGTTATGGACTGAATTTGAATGATTTGGAGCTTTGAAGTGTAAATAAAAGCCCAAGGGATTAACTCGGGATCACGTTCGAGGGTCGAAATCCATATCTGGATATCAAAAGGCAAGGAAAATTCTATACTCTAAGAAAACCCCACTGCACTCTAATTTACAATTTCCTGCTGCCTGTTAGAAACAACTCTCCGGATTTCCCTACTAATGCCCCGCATGGTGCGTCCCCTCATGCGGTGCGCCTGTGCAATTTTTACAGAGTGAAAATCCTATTCGGGCTATGAGAAAGTAGTTTCGTGTGGGCCCGACCCTACTTAGTATAAATACATGGGAAAACGTTATTTTTGGGACTTTTGACACATATTCAACCTAAGGAGGCTAGGGAGGAGTTGGAAGAGCAAGAGCACAAGGATTTCATCATTCCTTCCTCACTCAAGACACGAGTTTGGATTGAATTTATATTTTTCTATACTTTAATTTTATTTGTGATAAATTTCTCCATATCTATGGAGTAAGTTCCTTTAGGGTTTGATGGATTTGGTGTATTAATGATTGTTTGTGGATTATAACTCTATCTTATGTATTTAATCGTTTTTGGATGATTTAATTATTGCATCTATATTCACTTGTTTATTTAATCGAGAGAGGCATAACTTGTGATATCTTTGCATTATATTGTTGGTTGAGTTTATAGATTCTTCTAAGTAATCGAAAGAGGCTAGTTGAATAATTAATTAAACTTAGTTAGGATGATAATCGAAAGAGTTTCTCCTAAAGACCAATCCACTACGAATTCTTGCATATCTTCACAGAACTTAAATTGGTTCATCTTGTGATGTTGAGACTTAATCAAGAGAGGAGTTTCTACTAAACGTTTGAACTAATAATTGAGTGAATTCGAGAGATTCACTTGAACATTAGAAGTGAATTATCTAGAGTTAGATCCCGAACAATTATCTTGCACCTATCCTATCAAAACCCTATCTTCTCCCATTTATAACCTTCTTTGCGTATTCCTTGTTTCGATAGTCATTAGTTAATAGCTTTAGACTCTTAGTTAAATTTAGTTAGAAATTATAGAAATCTAAATTGTTGATCATCTTGGATAGCAACCAAACCAGGAACTACGAAAATACTGTTTAAATTCAATCCCCGTGGATACGATATTATATTTTACTATATTTAACTAGCGAGCATAATTTAAGTGGTGTTTTGCGCTCGTCAGGCAGCCCTCAAAAAATTGGCATTGTATAGCCAAATTTTTTAAAAAACTACTTCCTATTTATTATCTTTCTATAACCCCCCTCCATATCTCTGTATACTACGTATCTTTTGCTTTTCCCTCTCCCTTTCTATCCTTTTATTTCTTCTTCTATCTCTCCTCTTTCTCTCTCATGATTTACCGAAAATTATTGCACATTATGTAGAAAAATCAGTGGGATGAAAAGGTAAGGTTGATCTTACACTAGAGAAAATCAGAAGCAAAATGTAAGAGAGAAAAGGAAAAAATAGAGTTCAACTTTATTTTTCTTCTCTTTTTTTTTGGTTGTTGTTAGATTGAACGAGTGGGATGATTGAAATTGGTTTTGAAAATACCTAGATGAGGCTATATACAAGGTTAGAAGTGATTTAGATTGGTTTCATGTAAAAAAATCAGACTTAAAAATTCAATTACGACATGTGTATATCACGTTGTATATCGTGTACATCAGTGTATATCACACGGAGGTTTTTATGGACGCCTGTGTATATCATTTTGTATATCATGTATATAACACACATTCTTTATGGAAGCCTGTGTATATCACATTATATATCATGTATATAACACAAATATTCATGGATATACACAGATACACATGATATGCATGAGATATCACTGATGTACATGGAGATATACACAGGGTACAATGGGGATACACATGTGGAGTCGTCTTGAAACTTGAGTTTTCAATCTGATATGTGTTATACAAAGAAAGAAAATAAAATTTTGATATACTTTTTGATATATACATTATTATTATGTTATACACAGTGATAAACAAATAATATAATTATTCCAGTGTTATATATATTTGGATATACAGATTAAAAAAATAAGAAAAATAATTTAGAAAAAGTTGGTAGATTTTTCGGATACTATTCAAGGAAATTGAATCTAATTTCTAGGATGATGGTTGCTATGAGAGAAGAGAGAGAGAGAGAGTTTTAATTTTTTTTTGTTATGTTTAAGGAAAATAATTTTGATGGAGCTTATTTTTAAGATGGTGGTTGAACCATTAGTAGAGAGAGAATAACTTTAGGCTACCATATGCTAAATTCTAAAATGTAGGTTTTTTTATGCTAATTGTTGGACCATGTCATGCCAAATCCCCTTTTGAATTGGTGATGGGCCGGCCTATTAAAATATATTGGGTTAGCTGGTAGGCCTTTTTCATAGCCCCAAAGGAAGTCGGCCTTCTGCCATAGTAGGAATGAAAAAAGAGAGAGAGAGAGAAGAGAAGCAGCAGCAGCAGGGTCGCAGCAGCATTGAAAGAATGAAAGAGAATCAGTATTGCATAATTTCAAAAATATTAACCTAATTAGATCCATTCGACATTTTTAATTTCTTTTGAAGTGGATATATCAAAGAACTTATTTTGTACTAAATAATGAGAAACCTCACCCTCGCGATCCTACTAGTGAGAAAGCTCGTCCCTATTTCTTCATATACAATAATATTTCTGAAAGAATAACTTTGGAAACTAAGTAGTGACAAGGGTCGTCCCTAATTCTTGGCTTGGCTGATTTCACGTGATATGCACTTGGGTTGGCTGATTAAATTTTAACAAACTTTTTTACTTGAAGTGTTAATTTTAGGTTTAGGACAAAATTAAAAGTATTCTATTTTTGTAAACATTAAGAACCATTTTCGTTATATAGGGACTAAAATAGTCCAAAAGGTCCATTTGATCATTATCTGTATTAAACAAAAAAAGACAACGCGTGAAATTGGAAATTAACAATGTGACTGGCCGATAAAAAAATTATTTAACGAACATATCTACTTTTGATAAAAAGGGATGAAAGGGCAATTTTGTGTTTAAACACTAATAAACGACCGAAGTAGTTAACAGAGAGTAGACTGGCTTTCTACAACTCCTAGGGCGGCTAGTAGCGAAAATAGATTGATTACGTCTCTGCTTAATATTCGTCAAGGCTGTGTTAACCAGAGAGCTAGCCCATTGAGTACGAGTTCGGTCGAACTCAGTCGCTTTGGTCCAATCCATGTATTTGTCTTAAAAAATCTATTGAATGAATACAAATTATTAATTTAGAACTC